AATACCATGATAATGAATGCAATCTGATCTATCTCCTGTCATCTCAAGTCACTGGGAATCTGTTCCCAGATTTGGGACATGATATGCTTTCATCTTAAACTGAATTATATAGTGCTAGGCCCCTAGTCTATCAGTAAAGCTTCTAGTTTCCCTTTACTGGGAGAAAAATAGGTGTTGTGTTATATACACTGATGCACCATACTTTCCGCACCCCCCTTTTCAAAATTCTAGATCTGCCCATGCTCTTAATTTTTCCTCTCCTTCCATTGCCATTGCTGAGGTGTCAGGACTTTGGCTGACTTCAGGCTTTCAAGGTTTTTGTGTTCATTGTAGATGCATACAGAGTACTGGGCTCCTTAAAGGTAATGCCACCAGGTTTCAAACCTAGTCCTGGCCAAGTGATTTTTATCCACTACTCCATAGTTCACTTGAGCCATAGTAAGTTTCCTTGGAAAGTAGGCACAGGATTGCATCTCTTAGCAAGCTCCTAGTTGCTGTGACAGCACAACCCCAACGACCCATCGACTGTGTCCATCTCTAGGCTGAAGGGTTTTTCTGGGCCTGGGTATGGAAATATGGGGTGTGGAAATATGTGGTGTGGGTGTAGAAATATGGGGTGTGGAAATATGGGAAGGCCTCCTTTAGTGCTTGAAATGCACTCTGAGCCTCTGGAGGTCAGTGGAATTTTGCTGATTTGCACTAGATTGCTGTGACTGGGGCAATCACCTTAGAGACACTGAGGATAAAGGAATGGTACAAGTCTGTGAACCCTAGAAGCCTTTGGATATTGTGGATGCTTCATGGCTCAGCCCAGTCATGTATGGTGCCTACCTTATGGGGATTCATCGGGATCCCATCAGCAAACAAGGTAAACCCTGGAAGCTCTATGGATTACTTTTCAAATTCACATTTCTTAAGTTTTGCATAAAGCCCATGCTGACAAAGGTGTATTAGGACCTTTTGGACACGGTGGTTTTGGGTTGCTTGTTCCTCTGAATAAATTAAAATGTAACCCAGGTAAAGCACAACATATAGATCCAGCATATCCCAGAGTACATGTAGTATGTTCTGAAGGCAGTCTTCCACTCATCTCCCTTTCTAATTCTGACCAGATGTAAGCCTCTCTCAGGTTTAGTTTAGTAAACACCTTAGCTGTCCTAATCTGATCAAAGTGTCAGTTTAGAGTGTTGACATTTCCATGGGATTTTGGCATTTAGATAATCTGATCTAAAGGTCAACACACACTGAGACCATGAAACATGAGCATCATGTTGAGCTAGCCAGGGTGCTCCCAGAATCAGCAAGAAGCAGGGGGTTCAAATTGGGTTAAAACAAAGGAATTTACAGTGTTCCCCTGATATAACTTCCAGAGGCCTTATCTGCAGGATGATGGGCCCAGACACCACTAAGGAACCAGCCACTGTTTCCACTAGAAAAGAAGGGGTCTTGGCCTGAATGGGTATCCCAAGGATCAGAGCCATAGTAAAGTCCATAAAATTATTCCCTACCAGCACAGGTATGTTGGATCCCAGATATGTACAGATGGACTGGGATTTATAATTGAGGAGCTAGTTTTGGAGCACTCCAAAGGGCAGTAACTGTACAATGTTACCATTGGCTCAGAGAACTCCTGTGTTACTTCCAGACTTATTCCAACAGTGGAGAAGCCCAGTGTAAGACTCTTCCTGTGAAGAGACTCAGGACATGTCCCGTATCAGCTTAATCAGTGGAACTTTCATGTTGCAAAAGAAACTAAAAACAGCTCTGGATGAGGAAGCTGTGGAAAGCTTCTCACAAGCCAACTGATAAGGGAAGTTAGACATAACAAGAAGAGGTTCCATAAATATGTTTGAAACAAATTAAGGACTAAGGAAGCTATAGGTTCACTGCTTAATAGCCAAGGTGACCCATTGATAGAAGATGCAAAGAAAGCAGAGCTGTTCAACTGCTACCTGCCCACTAGGTCCCGGGAGCCAACTGGGCAGAGGGAGGGGGAAGCAGGGGGCATAGGTAACAGAGCTCACCAGGGCAGTGTGGTCCACGGCAATCCATGCAGTGCTCCTCAAGGGGCTGAGCCCTGCCCACGGAAACCCACACCATGCTCCCACCCATGCCTGCTGGCCCGCCCTAGCCTCAGCCTTGACCTCTGCCAGCATGCAGCTTCCAGTAGGGCTATTCCCAGTGTGGCTGCAGCCACCGGGGCGCTGCTCTGCTCTCTTCGCCTCCAGCAGTGGCTCCTCCCTTTACCCCTGCCCCCGCTC